ACTCATTCGCACACTGTTGCAGCTCATCAGGTATGAATCATGGTTTCGCTAACACCTTTTTGCTTTGCATTGCTATTGTGGCTATCTGTTCTATTCGGTTTTCTGGTTGTTCTATTTGTATGGATTGTTGGCCTTTTCTTTTGGGTTGTTCTATCAAGCAGAACGACCCGTTTTCCATTCAAAACGATCCGTTCTCCATGAAGAATGGGCCGTTCGCCAAGCAGAACGGGTCGTTCTCCATGGACCGTTCTGCTTGACCTTGATAATGTCCGACATAAATTTACATCATTTTTACAAAGCCGACATAAATTTACGTCTCTCGCATTAACGTTAGACTTTTTTTAGATGTAAAAAACTCAAAATAACCGATGTAAATTACCTCTTTTGTACCCGTGTTTTTGTTGAATTATTTTGGAAGTTATTGGCCTTGTTTATTGAACAAGGAAAGATATATTTTGTAAATATGAAATTTATGACAAGATCAAAGTTTCTTAATTATTCACTCTATTATTTAATGGTTTAAATTGTTTCTGCCATATTCTCTTTTCGCAAACTATCGTTCTCAGATCCGGATAATTACTTACTCAAATGTGTAACTATATAAATTGTTTATTTTAGAGTTTAATAAAATTAGTTCTGATAAAATACGTTTTAAATCATTAAATATAATTAAAAATGTTTCTAAATTAATCTCAATCGCAAATTTTATATTAAAATTTATGTGATATGTCTCACTGAAAGAAACCACTTCTGTATGTTGAGTGTTGAGCAATGCATGGTTCAATTGTGAAGCTCCGTTTTGACAGTGACAGATTCTTTTTCTTCAAATTAATTTCCCAGATTCTAGAAAAAGCGAGCTAGGATGAACAAATAAATAATTTTGGAATCACCTCATCTTTTCCAGCTTTTAAACCTTCCTTTTCTCTGGTCTAATCAGACTTCATAATACAGATCTATAAATAATAAAACCAGGATTAATTTGCATAGATTTATAAAAGTAAACATGCTATTTTAATTATTTAATTTTGCATTTGGATATAAATATTAGAACGCATTACTAACTAAAAGTTACTATTATTTGTCTCAGAAATTAATTAGGATTATTGTCTAATTACTTCTAAACTAAATGATTCCTCCAGTATATTAGCTTATATATAAAGCATTTATTTATATTTTTAAACTGGGTACGAGTTATAAAAGAAAACAAGCCAATCCTCGGAATTAATTAATATTAGTGATCTGCAAGAATATTCTTACCATGTCAGTCCTTAGTACGTAATGATTTGATTTATTGTTGATCTTTATTCTTTAAGTATGTTTATTTCTACTAGAGAAATGATTGAGCCTCCAAATTTGTACGTCGAAATTCATTCTGAATGAATAAAATAATATTTTAAATTATAAAATATTAAATTTAATAATTATTTTATAATAAATTCTTTAAAATATATTAATATTTTAATTTTTCAGACTATGTTTCGAACAAAATTTCGGACGCTAATGCTCTTTCTACTATGATCGTGGAGATGTGCATGATAATAGCAACAATGTAATTCTGACGCAAGATAAATAACTTATATGATGTCATGTCAGTACACTTTATTCTAACTTCTTTTTTATTAGGGTACGTGTCCTTCGATTGAAAACTAGAACGTAATTCTTCAATGGGATTTGTGTTAGAAACTAATATTTTTCTAGTTTCAAGATATGCACGTATACTTAAATATTATGATTATTTGTCAGTTATATATAATACATTTTATCCTAATTTTAAGCTTAAAATTAAATGAACTCCAAGCGTGTGATTCAGCGGTAGGAGTTGATCCACACTTAAGCAAGGTCAGAGGTTCGAATCTTGTCTTGTGTATGCAGAACCCTTTAGTTGAAGGAGACTGGACGTAGCTCAGTCTGAGAGAACCAATATAAAATAATGTACACTACTTGTCATATTTCTTTTAGATGCATATCTTCCTTACTTATTAAATCCTTGTAAAAAACTTCGTCCACCAATAACCTCAAAGTGAAATCATCTTTCAGACGCAGATGCAAACTTTGATTAACATATCTAGTATACTGAAGATCTTTACCTACTGCTTATCTTTAAATGAAACTATCTTGAAAAGGAAAATGCAAGAACTTTAATCATTATTGTTATATGAAACATTGTCCTTCAGCAGACGATAAATATTTCAGACGCAATAACCTTGTGTTAAACAAATTCTACATAACCGTCTGGTATCTAAAAGTGCATTGGACGAAGAACATTATTCTTGCGAAAATGGTTTAAAATTCCTTCTTACACACACACACATATTGAACCCCCCCCCCCCTTCTATGTGTTTCATGTCTAACTTCAATTCTTGGTGCACATAAACTCAAACAATTAACTATAAAATCCCTAACCTTAAGGTAAGGAAGACATAATACACTTTTTAATGTTCTAGCTTTGATTGAGCAGCTAGAATAATCCTAGAACGTTCTCCAAATCGAAATATTTTTGGTACCCACCATGGGACTACGGTGAAACTTCCCCTGAGCCCCAAAGACTGTCAAGTTAAAAAATGTGGAAGGAGGTTTTGGTGGAAATGGCAGGTGGAACAATCTGAAATCATGAGACCTAACATCCAATTATGGAAGAGATGACGACCATGGTCGAGAGCCTAAGGGAGGAGTGTCGTAACCCGAAAAATTTCGATCTTACGACCAATTGTTTTAGACTCCCTTTTTGAAAAATCTCATCAATTAGGGAATGCCCGGAAACTAGACTAATCCTTAATTAATGGATTTGAAAAATGGTTCATGGAGTCGCCACTAATGTTTTGCTCAAAACATTAGAAAAAGAAAATATTTTCAAAAGTCCAATAATGGCCTTAATAACCAGAATTGGGTTCGGGGGTCGGTTACGTGTCGGGAAGGTGTTAAGAACCCCTACAACGCCCTAAATCAGTACCCTATGATGAAGCTAACATGATAATAATTAATGGATTAAATGTTAGATCCCCTTTTATTAATAATTATTTACATGCTTGAAATTTAAATTACACGACTTATCCTAAGATGTTTACATGATGATTATTTATTTAGAACAATATTTATTTAAGTAAAGGGGGTAACAAAGAGAGAAGAATATTAGCTGAAATACCTCTTACTCGAACTTTATTGAATCTTCAAGTTTGATGATCTCTAGGCGCTTTTTGACTGCCTTTCACACTATAATTTGCCTCACAAAATCTCAAGAAATACAATAGGAAGGAGAGAGAGAAATTTCAAATTATATGAAACTTTCTAGACGAATTTTTTTCGGCCTCGTGAATAGTGCTCGAGTCTACTATTTATAGACGTCAGAACTGACCAGAATGACCTGTTCTGGTTTCGGAACGAATGTTCTAAATCAGTTCGTTATGAGTTAAATTTGAATCTAGAACGGCCCGTTCCAGATTCAAACTTGACTCATAACAACCTATGCTGGAACGGCTCGTTTTGGCTCGTTCTCAACTAGGGTTTTTAGGTCTTTTAGTGGTTTGGAATGGCCCGTGCCAGATTAAGAACGGGCTGTTCCAAGCTACTAAATCAAACCTGTTGGGCTTTAGGCCTTCTGATGTCATATCATGTTGTTTCCATGCTTCGAAAGTTCATTTCCTTCATAATAGAAGTCCATTCCTTTGTTTACAGGTCCGAACGAAATTAGGTGTCTACAAGAAGAATGCTTAGGCTAAGAGGAGAGAGAAAAAGATCAAGAGGGAGGTTGAAGAAAATTGGCGAAAGGCAGATTAAATGCATGAGGCGATACAGGCCAACCTCAAGATGAAGGAGAGAGATCTAACAATAGAGGTGCTAAAGGATTAACTATAAAAATTCTAACCTTAGAATAAGGAAGGCATAATACACTTTTAAATATTTTGGCTTTGGTTGAGTGACTAAACTAACCCAAGAACATTCTCAAGATTGAAACACCATCAAATGAATCGAATCATTCTCATCCCCAAGTTATATAATTTAATTTAGAGTTATATAATTAATTATGGTCTTTTAATACGATCTAATCCATAAAGAAGTTTTCAATCGTTTCCAACAATTAGCTCATCAATCCTCACACAAAATAAGAACAAAATCACAACAAAAAATTTGAGCATACGAAATAGACGAGTAATGAATAGATGCTACAATTCAACAAACTGATGAGTCGATAAAAATTTGTCAGAAAGGTATAGCCCCTTGATACGAACCAAGTTCTATCATAAGAAGTTGGAGAAATTCTTCTTTTTAACAATGTAAAATTCTTGTTAAAGACTTTCAAAATAGTTACAATAAGTAAGGTTCACCTATTTATACATGTACCATATAGAAAGTGTGTTAGACACACTTTTAGTTGCCTAAAAAGTCCAAAAATAAGATTTGACACGCAAAATAAATATAATTATACTTGTAGTTACGTTATTTTTGTTCAACAACAATTTGCTCATTCAACAAAAATGCAGACAAAGAAAAAATCACGTTCAACAAAGTTGAAATATGATGAAAAAGAAAAATAAGTTTATTAAACCCTAAAAAATTCAGTTAAACATAAAATCAACTCGAAAATTATTAAAAACATTATAGTACCCAAAACTATTATACTAATTGGCTCTAATCCTTCACGCAAAATAAATGTCAATGTAAGTTTCCCATATTTTCAAAAGACAATCTGACATTGATTGTCATATGTTTTTTTTCATGATTAGCCCTCCTAGATTTTAGATTTTTTTTTTCTTTGAATCATAAATGTAATGGATTATGTCACATAATCATAAATTCCACGTAAAATAGAATTTCCATTTTCCATTTTCCACCTGTTTACTAGCAACAATCCTGGCCATCCAATAGACCATTACTTAATCTGACGGCTGCAATAACCTTTCCCCTCGGTAGGAAAGCGTGGAACCTGTCTTCTTCGAGATAATAACATGCCTCGAATAAAAAATGTGGTAATTCTATCATAAAGACATAATTAATACCTCACAAAATGTGATTGCTGCACCGCTGATTCTACGTGAGAAAATACCTCTCTCTCCAATAATGGTACCGGAGAGAACCGGTTCCCATACCGGTGAACACGAAATCACCGAACCTCTACGTACGCACCTTCACAACCTCTCCAACTTTCTCTCTTTTGCATCTTACTAAAACGCTGCGTTTTTGCAGTTCAAGGCGACCGCGACACGTGTCCAACCGGCGACGATTCTCCGATCGAGCAGGTATCCCTGACGGTGCCGGTGACCGACGATCCATCGCTGCCTTCGTTCACTTTCCGGACATGGATTTTGGGAACCCTAGCGTGCGCGCTTCTCTCGTTCCTGAACCAGTTCTTCTGGTACCGGCGGGAGCCGCTGTCGATGACGGCGATCTCGGCGCAGATCGCGGTGGTGCCGGTGGGACACCTGATGGCGGCGACGGTGACGGAGCGCGTGTTCATGAAGGGGACGAGGTGGGAGTTCACGCTGAACCCGGGGAAGTTCAACGTGAAGGAGCACGTGCTTATCACCATCTTCGCCAATTCCGGAGCCGCTAGCGTCTACGCCATTCACTTCGTCAGCATCGTCAAAGTGTTCTACAAAAGAGAAATTTCGCTGTTACTGGGCTGGCTCGTCGTTCTGGGTACCCACTTGTTGGGCCTCTCTTGGGCCGGCGTTTTTCGTCGCTACTTAGTCGAGCCCGCTGCCATGTGGTGGCCCCAGAATCTCGTACAGGTCTCGCTTTTCAGGTAGATACAATGGTAATGACATTTTTATTTTATTTTTTTACGTGTGCCATGCCATGAAAAGGTTGCTATTTATTATCCCTTTTTGATAATTAGTAAAGAATAAATATTTGTTTTTAAACTATTAAAATTAAAGTTCATACCGATTTTTTTTAAGTTAAATTATACTATTAGTTCATTTTTTTTTATCGATCTCCAATTTTGATTTTTCTACTTCAAAATAGAGTTATTTAGGTCTTCAAATTTTAAAACATAAAATTTTGATAATCTCGTCAAATTGATAATCATTAATCTTTAAGTGATATGATAATTGGTAACATAATATTTAGAAATAAAAATCTTAAAAAAAATCATATAAATAAGATTATTAATAAAAATAAATTTCAATCAAGAGTTAATCACCTATACATTACCAGTGTAAAGTTTTTTTACACTGACAGTCAATTAGAGCCGTTAATAGTGTCTTTTCATCTGCTCACTTAATTAAATTAAAATAAAAAAGGCATTATTAATGACTCTGATTGACTGCCAGTGTAAAAAATTTTACATTAGCAGTGTATAGGTGATTAACTCTTAAAGTAAATACAAATGAATATATTTTATATGTTATTTCTAAATTTTTATTCTTAGATATCATATCACTAAATATCACGTAAATTTAGTGATTATACGTTATAGAAAAGTCAAAATTTAATGATCAATGAATATCAAATTGATACTAGAATCAAAGTTTTGCATTATAGATTGAAAAAATAGAAAAACTAAAATTACAATTTAACCTATTTTTTAGTATATAAAAGAGAATAAAGATTATGCGGTGTAAAATAATTTTACATTGTTATTCAATTACAAACTATTATCTATGGCAAGTTTGGTGCTTCTTTTGATAATTACATTAAAAATCATATCAACATTGATTTTACATGGTATGATGACTAAATCCTATATAAGTTACATTATAATTAAAATTTATAATATGTAAATACTTTTTAAATATATAAATTATATTTTAAAATTATAATAAATAACTTAAATTACTATAGAAAATTATTTATATTTTCTAAAAATTATTTAGATTTAATTTATAAATAGAAATAAAAATATCAATTCAACGAGATAAAAGACTAAAAAGATAAATATATAAATCTAAAACGATGATAATTTGAGATAATTTGGACTTCAAAGAAAAAAAAAATTAAGTAACTATGAAATTAATATATGAAATGCACATCATAATGAGAAAAAAAATTGAAATGTTGGATTAGGAGAGTAAGAATTTTATATTCTCATTAACAAAAAAAAACTTCCAAGTTGTGCATTGTTTATAATATAAAAATAAGGACATGTTTGTATAAACATGATCTCCAAGCGTGTGATTCAGCGGTAGGAGTTGATCCACACTTAAGCAAGGTCAGAGGTTCGAATCTTGTCTTGTGTATGCAGCCGCGTTAAATCTTGGAGCCAGCCATCCCACATTTTGAGGTGCCTCCAACTTATTGTTGATCTTTATTCTTTAAGTATGTTTATTTCTACTAGAGAAATGATTGAGCCTCCAAATTTGTACGTCGAAATTCATTCTGAATGAATAAAATAATATTTTAAATTATAAAATATTAAATTTAATAATTATTTTATAATAAATTCTTTAAAATATATTAATATTTTAATTTTTCAGACTATGTTTCGAACAAAATTTCGGACGCTAATGCTCTTTCTACTATGATCGTGGAGATGTGCATGATAATAGCAACAATGTAATTCTGACGCAAGATAAATAACTTATATGATGTCATGTCAGTACACTTTATTCTAACTTCTTTTTTATTAGGGTACGTGTCCTTCGATTGAAAACTAGAACGTAATTCTTCAATGGGATTTGTGTTAGAAACTAATATTTTTCTAGTTTCAAGATATGCACGTATACTTAAATATTATGATTATTTGTCAGTTATATATAATACATTTTATCCTAATTTTAAGCTTAAAATTAAATGAACTCCAAGCGTGTGATTCAGCGGTAGGAGTTGATCCACACTTAAGCAAGGTCAGAGGTTCGAATCTTGTCTTGTGTATGCAGCCGCGTTAAATCTTGGAGCCAGCTATCCCACATTTTGAGGTGCCTCCAACGTAGTGAGGAGATTAGTCACCACTATCGGCAGTGGATACTCCCGGGACGAACAAAAAAAAAAAGCTTAAAAAAGTTACTATTATTTGTCTCAGAAATTAATTAGGATTATTGTCTAATTACTTCTAAACTAAATGATTCCTCCAGTATATTAGCTTATATATAAAGCATTTATTTATATTTTTAAACTGGGTACGAGTTATAAAAGAAAACAAGCCAATCCTCGGAATTAATTAATATTAGTGATCTGCAAGAATATTCTTACCATGTCAGTCCTTAGTACGTAATGATTTGATTTATTGTTGATCTTTATTCTTTAAGTATGTTTATTTCTACTAGAGAAATGATTGAGCCTCCAAATTTGTACGTCGAAATTCATTCTGAATGAATAAAATAATATTTTAAATTATAAAATATTAAATTTAATAATTATTTTATAATAAATTCTTTAAAATATATTAATATTTTAATTTTTCAGACTATGTTTCGAACAAAATTTCGGACGCTAATGCTCTTTCTACTATGATCGTGGAGATGTGCATGATAATAGCAACAATGTAATTCTGACGCAAGATAAATAACTTATATGATGTCATGTCAGTACACTTTATTCTAACTTCTTTTTTATTAGGGTACGTGTCCTTCGATTGAAAACTAGAACGTAATTCTTCAATGGGATTTGTGTTAGAAACTAATATTTTTCTAGTTTCAAGATATGCACGTATACTTAAATATTATGATTATTTGTCAGTTATATATAATACATTTTATCCTAATTTTAAGCTTAAAATTAAATGAACTCCAAGCGTGTGATTCAGCGGTAGGAGTTGATCCACACTTAAGCAAGGTCAGAGGTTCGAATCTTGTCTTGTGTATGCAGCCGCGTTAAATCTTGGAGCCAGCTATCCCACATTTTGAGGTGCCTCCAACGTAGTGAGGAGATTAGTCACCACTATCGGCAGACAAAAAAAAATTATAAGGGACTAAAATAAGGTTTTAGCCTAAATTTTTTTATAAGTACTTTTAAGAGAAAAAAAAATAGAAAAGAAAAATGAAATAAGTTTCATTATAAATTAAAAGTGACTCATGCTTAAACTAATTTTGTAGAAAACTCTTTTCTATTAACTTTACTAAAATCTTATTTTTAATTTTTGTATAAGCTAATTTTAACTTATGAAAGAGTATTTCAATTTTTCTTTCTAGAAATATTTCTGAATAAGTTTACCTAAATATGCCTTAAGAATAATACTAATAAATCTTTCTAACATTCTCTTTTAAGCATTATTAACTATTAGTTGAAATTTATGGCAAATTACAAAATTTAATAGATTCTACTACCAAATCAAGAGGAAAAAAAATGAGACCACAAAGAGTTTATTCTCCTTCCTAACTGTTTTGTGATTAAAAAAAAAAAAAAAAAAGCCACAACAGATCTATTTCAAGTGATTATAAAAGGAAGACAAAGGACAAGAGTTTAAGCAAACAAGATCAAAGAGAGAGAATAACTACACAATCTAACAAAGTTGTTGTAATCCTTGTTTCATACTCTAATTCATTCAAAGATTCCCACTTTATTATATTTGTATAAGCATTGTAATAGAAAAGGAGGTGTGAAACCTTCCATAGTAAAAGCTCCATTGTAGGAGAATTGATTGTGATCTTAGTAGTTTGCAAGACCACAAAACCCATTATAGTAAACATTGTTCCTACCTGGATATGAGTGTGTAGAGGTGTGTCGTAACCCGAAAAATTCCAATCTTACGACCAATGGTTTGGACTACCTTTTGAAAAATCTCATCAATTAGGGAATGCTTGAAAACAAGACTAATCCTTAATTAATGGTTTTGAAAAATGATTCGTAGGAGTCGCCACCAATGTTTTACTCAAAACATTGAAAAAAGAAAAGGTTTTTGAAAATCTAATAATGACCTTGATAACCAAGATTGGGTTCGGGGGTCGGTTATGTGTAAGGAAGGTATGAAGCACCCCTACAATGCCCTAAATCGGCGCCCTATGATGAAGATAGCGTGATAAGAATTAATAGTTTAAATATTTGATCCCTTTATTAATGATTATTTACATGAAATTTAAATTACACGATTGACCCTAGGATGTCTACATGATTTCTTTTATTATAACAATATTTAAAATAAAAGAAATGGAAGATGAAGAAAGAGATTGATGAATAATACCTCGTAGCAAGCTTTATTAGATTTTCAAATAGGGAGACTCTTAGGTGCTTCTTGGCTACCTAACACACTACAACATACCTCACAGAATCTCAAGAAATACAATAGGAGAGAGAAAGGATTTTCAAGCTATATAGAATTCTCGACGAATTTTTCTGGCCTCGGGAATAGTGCCCGAATCTTCTATTTATAGACATTAGAACTGACCAGAATGGCCCGTTCTGAATTCGAAACGGCCTGTTCTGGAGCAGTCTGTCATGGGTTAGATTTGAATCTGGAACGACCCATTCTAGAAGTAGAACAACCCGTTCTAGATTTGAAATTTACTCATAACAACCTGTGTTGGAACGACCCATTCCAAACTAGGGTTTCTAGGCCTTTTAAGTAGCTTGGAATGGCCCGTTCTGGATTGGGAACGGGCCGTTCTAGGCTACTAAATCACCCTTATTGGGCTTTGGGCCTTCTGATGTCATATCATGTCTTTTCTAGCTAGTCCTTTGGGAGCTCCTTTTCTTTTTGCTAGATGTCCATTTCCTTGTTTGTATACCCCAGAAGAAATTAGATGTCTACAAGGTGTAGGAAAGAAAAAAAATCACAATAGGTGTTGCATAATCTCATAGCAACTGGCTATATAGGATTGTTTTCTCAACAGGTGTTTAAGTGATCTTAGTAGTTTACAAGACCACAAAACCCATTATAGTAAGCATCATTCCTACTAAGATATGAGTGTGTAAGATAGCGTGATAAGAATTAATAGTTTAAATATTTGATCCCTTTATTAATGATTATTTACATGTATTTTTTCAGAAGACTTGTATTGAAGACCCTATTTAGAAGGCTTTAAGTAATGACTTACTTAAAAGGTACCTCATTTATACAAAAAGTTGGCAAGCCTAGAAAAATTAAGCAATGTATTGTGATGTCATCATTTGACTAAAAACTAAGCAAGCCACAACAGATCTATTTCAAGTGATTATAAAAGGAAGACAAAGGACAAGAGTTTAAGCAAACAAGATCAAAGAGAGAGAATAACTACACAATCTAACAAAGTTGTTGTAATCCTTGTTTCATACTCTAATTCATTCAAAGATTCCCACTTTATTATATTTGTATAAGCATTGTAATAGAAAAGGAGGTGTGAAACCTTCCATAGTAAAAGCTCCATTGTAGGAGAATTGATTGTGATCTTAGTAGTTTGCAAGACCACAAAACCCATTATAGTAAACATTGTTCCTACCTGGATATGAGTGTGTAGAGGTGTGTCGTAACCCGAAAAATTCCAATCTTACGACCAATGGTTTGGACTACCTTTTGAAAAATCTCATCAATTAGGGAATGCTTGAAAACAAGACTAATCCTTAATTAATGGTTTTGAAAAATGATTCGTAGGAGTCGCCACCAATGTTTTACTCAAAACATTGAAAAAAGAAAAGGTTTTTGAAAATCTAATAATGACCTTGATAACCAAGATTGGGTTCGGGGGTCGGTTATGTGTAATATCTCGGAATCTCTAGAAATTTAAGATTTTCCAACATTTTGGTTGCTTGACCTCTTCTACTAAGAGTTTGTTTAATACACATAATATAGTTGCATAATAACATCAGTTATTTTGTTATTCGCTTATCATATCATATGTTATAAACTATAGTACGTCTACATAAATTATGAGGCCGAATTTGATTTAAAAAAAAAATTACAATGTCAAACTTACACTTAAAAAAAATGGCGTTGTTTCTCACATGATTTTTTTTTCCCAAAATATATAGATAACGTGGTATGTCTTTGTAGCCTCAATCTTTCTAACGTGACTCACTTCAATTATGTTCAACTTATCCTTAATTTTTATAATGAAGAAAAATAGGTTTCTTGTAACTTGTAAGAGAAGTGCTACCAAAACTCTAAAGTAATATTGATACTAAATCCTAACATCAGAGTATGAACAATAGAAAACAAACAAATAAAAGAAATATAGAAACCTTTCTGAGGAAGAATCAGCTTCTTCACTCAGCCCGACCAAATAATCTTTCTAACAAATTCCTTGATACGCATAACGCATCTTGACAACCCCCTACCTGGTAGATATCTGTTCATTTCTTCATGCTAAATTTATTTACAACATTAGCATCTATGACTTATAAGAATCTGTATGAAGACATATTAAGTGGGTGGCACGGTGATAATATTCACCTTGTGTTTCCATGTCATTCCATGCCCACTGCAAAAGGCACAAGACTGGTGAAATGATCATTATGAAAGTGATGTAAACCAGAGAAATTTTGTTTTAGGTGGACATATAGAGCTAATAACACACTACCTCTTATTAGAAGTTATTAGAAGTCATGTATGTGGATTGTGGAACACACTAAACTCACTCATTTAGTGCAACTTACATAGATTTCAAGTAAACACCCACTTTCGTCCTTGAATTTGGAAGATATTTTGTCATATTAGTCCTTGAAATTAAGAAATTGTCCAATAAGTCTTTATAATGTCAAATAAGTCCTTAAATTTAATTATTTACCGTTATTTTGATCTCTAAATATATCAAATCTTATTATTTTAATCACATATTTTTTTTTAGTTTTGAACTAATTTGATTGTAAATTTATACTTTCAACGACATATTTTACAATTTTTTAGATTTTAGAAACTAATATGACATTTTCTAAATTTAAAGACCAATTTGGATGTTTGATCCATAGATTTCACTTGATAATAAAGAACATCTTGTTAGCATTTTTCTATTGAGCAATTTTCCACTTGTATATGTATAAAAAATGATGAGATTTTTAACCGTCTTCATTTCTAATTCCATTTTACGCAATCAATGTTATAACTCTTGCACAAAATAATGGATGTCAGGGTGCTGCACGAGAATGAGGAGAGGCCAAAGGGTGGTTTAACACGGAATCAGTTCTTCCTCGTAACATTTGTTTGTAGTTTTGCTTATTATGTGTTTCCAGGCCACTTGTTCCCAATGTTAACATCACTTTCTTGGATATGCTGGATGTTTCCCACTTCTATTATAGCACAACAGCTAGGTTCAGGGCTGCGTGGACTTGGAGTAGGTGTTGTTGGTTTTGACTGGTCCACTGTATGTGCTTACCTTGGGACCCCTCTGGCTAGTCCTTGGTTTGCCACGGCTAATGTTGCTGCTGGTTTTGTCATTTTCATATACCTCCTCACACCCTTTTCTTATTGGCTTAACATTTACAAGGCAAGAAGGTTTCCCATATTTTCGGATGATCTATTCACGTCCAATGGCCAAAAATACAACATCTCAAGTATTGTTGACTCCAACTTTCACCTTGATTTGGAGGCTTATCAGCGTGAGGGCCCTCTTTACTTCAGCATCAACTTTGCTATGACATATGGCTTCGCTTTTGCTTGCCTTGCTGCCACCCTTGTACATGTATTGCTCTTTCATGGGAGGTGCAAGTTTTCACGCTCTTATGTCTTTGAAAATAATATACTTGTGTTGACGTGGTTGAATAAGTCAATATGAGTTTCAATGGTGCAGTGAAATATTGCAGCTAAGCAAGTCTGCTTTCCAAGAGAAGAAGATAGATATACACACAAAGCTTATGAGGAAATACTATAAGCAAGTTCCTGAATGGTGGTTTGTTTGCATTCTTCTGTTCACCATCACGACAATTATGTTTATGTGTGTGAATTACGAGGACCAACTCCAGCTTCCATGGTGGGGTGTGATATTAGCCTGTGCTATTGCCATGTTGTTCACACTTCCTATTGGAGTAATCAAAGCCACGACAAATCAGGTACAGGTCTATACAATAAAACACATTGTACTTTTGGTCATTTAATGGAAATTTCCTGTGGTAACATTACAAAGTTGAACAGTACTTCTGTGATACAACATTGTACTGATGCAACAAGTATGACAAATTTTATTTTCTACTGGATTCTGCCTTGGAACTATACTCAAATCATTCTAGTGGTTTTTAAACTGCCACACTAGCAATTCTACTGCTATAACTAATTTTGTAATTGCACCAGAGACTTGGTTAACTTAATTTGAAAGCTTTTAAAAGTATAGGTGCTATGCTACTTCTGATAGTGGAACTGAATATGACTAGAAATATTTGATATTGTCTCTATTATTATCAAATTGGTGACTCTTAACATTTGTTTCTGTTCCCGGGAAGGCACCGGCTTTGAATGTGTTAACAGAGTATATAATAGGATACATCTATCCGGGGTATCCTATTGCTAACATCTTGTTTAAAGTGTTTGGGAATGGAAGTGTTAAACAAGGAATTTCCTTTTTGGAAGACTTCAAGCTTGGTCATTACATGAAGATTCCTCCTAGAGCAATGTTCACGGCACAGGTTTGCACTCCCAATTAATCTACCTAGAAGTAAAATGTCACTTTTATGTTGAGTAATGATACTTGTACAAATTTATAATTACACATATTCTTTGGAAAAAAAAGGGCTATGCCAATCATTATAATTTTATACTGCCATCCTATCATAAAGTATCATTTATAGTAAATTTGTTGACTTTTACAACTACCTTAAAAGTCATACTCATAATTATTTCTGATTGGTCGACAGTGACAATTAAACCCATATTCCTTAATACTCCCAAGCAAGTCATTGGATAACTCCTGGTCTCACTGTTAACTTGTTGCTAAATGGTCCATTATGCAAATATCTCGCATGGTTCTTGAAAGTATCTTTTTCTTTTTTATTTCTACTTAGCTTCTACTGGTGTAGCATGTAATATCATTCCCTTGCATGCTTTATTCCTTTCTAGATATTTGGCACCACTATATCTGCATTGGTGCATTCAGTAACAGCTTGGTGGCTGATGAACACTATTCCAAATATATGCGATAGAGAGTTGCTTCCACCAGGCAGCTCATGGACATGCCCTAGTGATCATGTATTCTATGATGCATCTGTGATAATGGGATTGATAGGGCCTCGTAGAATATTTGGAGATCTTGGACATTACTCGGCCATCAATTGGTTCTTTTTGGCTGGAGCTATTGTTCCTATCATAGTTTGGCTAGCACACAAGGCATTTCCAAATAAACAATGGATTAGACTAGTCAACATTCCTGTGATCTTGACAGGAGTAGCGCAAATGCCTCCAGCTACACCAGTGAACTACACTAGTTGGGTTCTTGTTGGATTTGCCTCAGGGTTTGTTGCTTATCGCTATAACCGTGGATGGTGGAGTCGACACAACTATGTGCTATCTGGGGGACTTGATGCTGGATTAGCCTTCATGGGGGTGTTGCTTTACATTTGTTTGGGGATGCAGCAGATCAACCTAAACTGGTGGGGCAGTGACCCTGATGGATGCCCTTTAGCTTCATGTCCAACGGCTCATGGGATCGAAGAGTGTCCTCTTTACTGAAGTGAAGCAGCCCCAAGTATTGTTTTGGTAAACCGTAAACTTCTATATAAACACAGAAATGTTAATAACAATCTCTTATTAGTACTTTCTTTCCAATTGATTTTACAACTTTTGGTAGGTTGTACCATTAAATAAGAAAAGATACGTAAAATGAGATGCAAAATTTATAAAATTTGTAATTTTCAATAAATTTTAGTTAACAATAAAGATAATGTTAAAAGGAGAATATCACTAGCATTCTTCCAACACTTAATAAGAAGAGAAAATGAATTGAATTTCTCTCAAACAAAAATTAACTTATGCACTTAATTTTTTATAGATATTGTCTCATTTATCTTCTTCAAAAATCGAAGTGCATAAATTGATTTTAATTTATGAGAAAAGTTTAAATCATTTTACTTTTTTTTAATGTGTTTATAAAGAAGTTTATCCAAACATATTTATCTTTTTTTAATTTCTCTATATATAATAATTTCACATAAGCATTTAATAAAATTTATAAAATAAAAAGATAAACTTTTATTAGATGTATAAAATATATTAGGCTTAAATAAGAATTTAGTTCATGTTATTTAGAGCCTTTTCACTTTTCATTCTTTTTTTTTAATTGTTTGTTCATAACTTTTTTTTAACGTTTTAAAAAAATAGTCCCTGTCGTGCACTCTAGTTAGAAAAATTTCAATGTGGCGAATAGTGTCTATTTTATTCATATAATTTCACATAAGCATTGCAATGTAATTATGTTTTTTTTTTTCAAAACAAAGAACAAAATGCATTTTAATTTTAATTAAATAAAAAAAAGTAAAGGTGTGTGGTGTCATTATGACATTTAGGGTTTTTGCATTATCACCCAATCTTTGGTTGTCCCTTCAATGACTGATAGTCAAGTTGTCTTTTACAAGTTAATCAATTCACCAAGGAGTGATGCCAATGTGTGAATGTGGAAATGAAATGTGAATGTTGATGTCAAAGACTGTAGACAATCCTCAACAAAGGTTTTGGAGATGTATAAATTAGAATGTGGGCATGACAATGTTAGTAAGTTTTAGTAATTTTTAATACCTTTTGACTTGTAACCTTTTTTGTGTATAGTAAAGGAGGTTGTAAGCTATTTTAAGTTTTAGTATTTTTTAATACCTTTCGATTTGTAACCTTTTTTTGTGTATAGAAAAGGAAGTTATAAGCTATTTGGGCTACTGAGGTTGAAGAAAACATTGGTTCAAGTGAGGATACTTGTTCTTACCGGAATTTGACCGTAGGGGTGATCCGTCCAGTAAGATCGGTGAACCTCCTTTGCTTGATGTATTGGTGCTCCAAGATGGGGGAGGTACCTGCAAAAGAGACTCCGATGTCAAAGTTAGGGTTTGTATGAGTAATAGTCTCGTATAAGTAATGCACGTATCTTGGAGTGAATTAGGTTTGCTTTGGGCTCTGGGTCTGAGATAAGATATGATAGCGGATCTCGTCTGGGGCGAGATCCTCGGTAATCAGTGATTAGATAATGGATCTCGTATGGGCGAGATCCTCGGGAATGAGTTGCGATTCACCTGAATGCCAAGCTGACGTCACACGACACATGCCCGGGATCATCTTGCACTGTGATGCCGAGCTTGGAGTTCGGCTTCGCGGTACGGTCAGTACAATACTCAAATGGGTTGTGCATGCTTGTCATTGTTGATATAGTTAAAATACTATATAATTATATCACAATGCTTAAGTGAAATCAAATGAAGGAAATAGACATATTCTATTAGCCACGTCAATTATTTTTTTTTTTAAACGAAAGTGAACAAGGATTATTTTTGAAATGTTAAAAAAATTAGGGAGAAAACGATAAAAGAAACACAAAGACTAAAAGTTAAAAAAAAAAAAAAACTAAATTACATAGAAAAATTATATTTAAGCTAATGTGTTATAATAATAAGGTATATAAACTAAACTCTTATCATAAAAAAAAATGTTACTCTTGTGCACTTGTATAACTCAAGGTGTTGCAAGGATCAATTTACATCAGCTCAATCTAAGTTAGAAAAAGAGGAATGTTTTGCCTCAATATGATAGACTCCAACTTCAAAACTATTTGATTTTAAACATGGTTTTTTTATGCGACATTCTCATTCTGAACCTTTTTATTAGTTCACTTTTCAATGTTGGTCTCTTTGCTAGTTATCTTATTAAGCTAGTGTTTTATGATAATAAGGTATATAAACGAAACTCTTATCATAAAAAATGTTACTCTAGAGCATTTGTATAACTCAAGGTGTTATAGGATCAATTTCCTCTAGCTCAATCTTAGCTTGAATAATGGGAATGTTTCACCTCAGTATAACAAACACCAAGTTCAAGACTATTTGGTTTCAAACATAGTTTTTTATGTGACATTCTCTTTCCCAACCTTCTTATTAGTTCACTTTTCGTTGTTGGTCCTTTTGCTAGTTATCTTATTTTGTACTTGTAAGGAAAAAAGGCACTTCATGTGATGGAATCATGTCATGGAGGTCAAGAGGTGACCCAAGAGGAATGGACTAGACATGAAGATTTGAGCTAGTTTAGAGCCCGATGGGATTGGTGGGCCCAAGTTGCTCCTCACATGGGCCACACCCTAAGATTTCCATTTCCCTCTATTTGTATATATAAGATTAGTATAGGTTTCATATATTTTGTTATTGTAGTTTGGATCACATAGATTAGGGTTTTGGGTCATAGGCTTAGTGGGCCTATTTTCGGGCTTAATGGACCTTGGGTATTTTGATATCCAATATTGAACTTATTTTGTTTCTTTTATTATTTCTCTGTGTTTGGTATAGTTTGACCATTGTATTTAGGCCACTAGAGTAGGATTTAAGGAGAAATAACTTAATTAGGCAAAGTTGGGAAATGTATATCACATTTAGGTTTAATTTGAGATGCATTTGGTGCGCATGTGCTAACCTAAGGTTGGTTGCACATGATCAACCCCTAAGCACCTTCAAATTAACTTTAAATGCAATCTAAATGAAATTGGTGTTGCACATGGCATAGCATATGGCTGCCAAAAATTTGAAATTCAAATTTCCATTTGAATTTCAGACTTTTGGTGCCTAGAATGCTCCATTGGATGTTGGTGCCAACTTCACCGTACCCCTTCTTTAAAGTTAGATGAAAACACATAGAAGGGGGGGTTGAATATGTGTGTGTGTGAACAAAGGAATTTTAAAACGTTTTCGCAAGGGACTCCTTTTCGTCTAGTAAAAATATTATTTTGAGTACTTAAAAAAAATGTGCAGGATTTGCTCAACAAGAGATTTTTTGTCTGAAAGTTTATCGTCTGCACACGAAAAATATTTCTTAAACGAAAACTGTTTCTTAAGATGATAAATTAAATAAGTCTAGTTTTCGTCTGAAGATAGATACAATTAAGGGAAATTGCGTCTAAAATGTAAATAAACAGTGCAAGAATGTTTATATTGGTTCGCTCAAACTGAGTTACGTCCAGTCTCCTTCAATTGAAGGGTTCCACTAGATATTCAATGAAGTACAAGTATTATTTATTCAGCCTCTTCAGGCTTGTAGTGAATATTCTCAACCACTCCTGGTCTTGAGTATTCTCAACCACTCTTGGTTGACTAGCTTCACTCACTAGCTCTAGTATTCTTTAATCAGCCTCTTCAAGCTCTTAGTAAGTATTCTCAACCACTCCTGGTCCCGAGTATTCTCAACCACTCCTGGTTGGCTAATAGCACTAATATTCTTTGTTCAGCCTCTTTAAGCTCTTAGTGAGTATTCTCGACCACTCCTAGTCCCAAGTATTCTCAACCACTCATGGTTGGCTAGCTTCACTCACTAGCCGCTTTTTAAACTTCCCTAGTGGAGTCGCTATCTGTCGCAACCCGAAAATTTCCGATCTTGCGACCTATGGTTTAGAGATCCGTTTAAAAATCTCATCAATTAAGGAATGCCCGGAGACCATACTAATCCTTAATTAATGGTTTTAAAAAATGAGTTCATGGAGTCGCCACCAATGTTTTACTCAAAACATTGGAAAAAGAAAAGGTTTTTAAAAGTTCAATAATGGCCTTGATAACTAGAATTGGGTTCAGGGGTCGGTTACGTGTAAGGAAGGTATTAAGCACCCCTACAACGCCCTTAATCAGTACCCTTATGATAAAGTTAGCATAACAAGAATTAATAGGTTAAATATTTAATCCCCTTTATTAATGATTATTTACATGCTTGAAATTTAAATTACACAATTGACTCTAAAATATCTACATGATTGCTTTTATTATAACAATGTTTATCAAAGATGAGAAATAAAAGAGAGAAAATAAGATTGATTGAAATACCTTGTAGCAAGCTTTGTTAGATCTTCAAATATGGAGATCTTTAGGTGCTTTGTGGAAACCTTTGACACTATAATATGCCTCACAAATCTCAAGAAATACAATAGGAAGGAGAGAGAGAGAGAATTTTCAAGCTCAAAGGAGTCTGAAACGAAATTTCCTAGTCTTGAAAACTGTGCTTAAGTCTACAATTTATAGACATCAAAAAGTTGCCAGAACGGCCTGTTCTAGATTCAGAAAGGCCCGTTCTGTATCTGTATGTTATGTGTTAATTTCGTATCTTGGAATGGCTCGTTCTAAAACCAGAACGACCCGTTCCAGAGTTGATTTTAACACATAACTGCCTATGCTGGAACAGCCCGTTCCAAACTAAGATTTTAGGCCTTTTTTGTAACTTGAAATGGCCCGTTCTAGTTTGGAACAGTCCGTTCCAACTCGGGAACGGCCAGTTCCAGGTTTGGAACATCCCGTTCGGCTACTAAAACCAGCTTATTTGGGCTTTAAGCCTTCTGATATCATGTCCTGTTGTTTCCATGCTTCGAGAGCTCCTTTCCTTGATAATAGATGTCCATTTCATTACTTTTGTGGGTCCGAACAAAATTGGGTGTCTATGATGAGTTGTTTCAACAAGTCTGCACACATTGTTAATTAATATACACAAAATCAAAGTACACTACAAGAAAAATGCAAATTATCGACAGATACAAATCTGTCAAAAAAATTATATTTTCGACGTATTTACTGCTTTAATTAATTTCATCTTAAAATAGGTAA